TGAGGAGTGTTATAACATAACCTTAAGTCAAGAAAGTTGACCATTTATCATGATATTCTGCGTAGTAGTGAATATTTTCTGTATTCTGTCACAATAAAGTAATTACGATTAAAAACTCAAAATTAATTTTAATTTAATCTATTTTACAAACTGTATTAATATAATAGAATTTAAAATTCTTTTAAATTTTTTTTATTGTTAATGTGCCGCCAAAATTAGAATTTATTGCAAACGTATCGCAACAAAAAATTGTTGAAAATTACTAATATAGACAATTGTAGTAAAAGCAACTAATTGGCTAAATTATAGTAATACAGTATCTTTTCTAAAATCATGGACTAAATAAAATCTACACAACATACATAATAAACGAATTCAGTGCAGTAGACACTTTGTCGTTAATTTTAAATTACTACATATGAATGAATTCACAAATTAATGAAATTAATGATAATTCTTAATATCAGAGATTCTATCACAGGTCGATACAGAACAATTGATAATACACATTATTCTTACTAAGTTGAATGCTAGTTACCACTAAACTCATTTTACGAATCAATTGTGATAATAATAAACAAATACACAAAAATGCTAAATTTCGACCTATAATAACATATCACAACAATATCCAAGAAACAATAGATATGTTGAAAACTTTGTAAAAACAAAACTTAATAGCAATAATGAAAAAATATTGGACTAACAAACACAACACAAATGAACATTTGAGAAAATGACAGCTTAGATCTTTAACCTGGTTCCATGAACTTCAGTAAAAAGATTGTAAGTGACTAATACTGTAATAAATATAAGATATTATAACAACATAAATAAATATTTGCAGAATTTTAATATTTGTGTTATATTTAAAATGGTAAAATTGTTGCACAAAATATCCACTATTCAGGGACTAATATATATGTTCATTTTAACAATTAAGAACAAGTAGACCATATTTTTAAGAGAAACAAATTGGAAAAACAATAAATTATAAACCAATAATATAAAAATTTTCAAAATTTTATTAAAATTAATATACATAGATCACAGTCAAGTAGCCACTTTTTAATTGCTTTTATCTAATAAGAACCAAAGTTTAAATTAAAATAGTTGATTTCTAAACCCTATTACCTCATGCTTTTACGTATCCAGTCAGCATAGCTGATAACTCGAGTATAGACAGCTGGCCAGTTTTTTAATCCACATTTAAAACCAAATGAAACTATACCTTCTAACACCCATGCTCCACTTTGGAATCGCATTAAAGGCCCACCGGAGTCACCTTCACAGCTATCCTCTGCATATTTGCCGCCTGCACATAGTTGGCTGGCTACAATATTAACTTTACGCTCTAAAAATTTTCTGTGACATTGCTGCTGATCTACAAGCGTTACATTTAACTTTTGCTTAATAGTGCTACTTGAATTTCTTAATGTTCGGCCCCAGCCTGCAACGGTATATTGAGTGCTTAAACCTAAATCTGATTGTTGAACTACGAACGGCAAGCATATAGGCTTAATTTTATCTGAAAATAAAATTATTCGGTTTAGCCGGACTAAGGCGATATCATGTTCTTTGTTTGTTGACGATTCCTTATAAAGTTCATGAGGTTTAGTATGTTCCACAGGAACTTGAAAAGCTTCAGCAGCACAAGCAAGTTGATTGCAGTCAATTTTTTCTTTGGTATTATATTCGCCTACCCGAATGCTTACACTGAATTAAAAATTTTTAAAGAGATATTTGGATAATTCTATTGATTTTGAATAAATTGCTTACAGAGGACCAATTCTTTTTTCAATTGCTCCTTTCACACAGTGTGCTGCGGTCAGAACGTATCTCTCATTTATAAGTGAACCAGCACAGTTTGTGGACAAAGTTCCAGATTCTATTTCAAAATGCAATTATTTAAATATGTTTTAATAAAGATATTAATAAAAGTAAAAATACTTCTCTTATATTCCAATAAAACCATCCATGGAAATTCATAAAGATCTGCGTCTTTGCCGCCATATATTTTGGTTTCAATTGTCACTCCCCCGCAAATTGGAATTGTCGGTAGCTCCAGTTGTTTTCTAGCTTCTGTTCGGTCGGTCCGATGTCTTAAATACGAAGTTGATGATATTGGTTGAATTTTATTCAAAGGAAATCCTACCACAGTGGGTGCAAACTGCGAATATTCGAAATAATCTTGACTAACAAAAGGTTGCACATAGTTTTGTTTACTTGCAAAACTAGTGTCACTTGTACAGCATACTTGTGGTGCAGTGTTATAGTCATTGTAGCATTGTGATGCCTTAACAAATTCAGTGTCAAACGGTTCTATATGCTCTCGTTTAAGAATTGATAATATAGTTTGACAATCAAAGATGGAAACACAGGTTCCAGGCCGTTGATTTGGATTAATGCAACGTCTGGCTAAAATTAATTTATTTAAAATCGAATTATTTCATAATTTAAAATTGTTTATATTAAGCTTTCAGTTTATTCTTTACTTTATACTGTATTGTTTTCATTTTTGGATCAAAATATGAAAAGATTTCTTAGTTAAAACTTACATGGCAGTAAATAGTTATCACTACTGATTTCCACGAAACACAATCCTAAAGAAACAATTTTTAACAAAAATACAATCACTTTCATTTTTTCTCAAAAATTTTCTTTATTTTTATATTGAATTAACTTGATAAAAAATTGTAGTTATTTTCTTTAAGTTAGTCAATTCGAAGGCCAATGTCAATTTTTGTGTACTATTCGTTGTTGTTTCATCGCATATTGTATTGCACTGTGAGTTAAGATAGTATTACTTTTAACAACTTCTGAAACTCAACTAAAACCAGTAAACTCAAAAACCGGATTTAATAAAACAGCTTTACTAAAGTTTACGGACTCTTATAGCGATTAAGCAGAGGATGACTAATATGAATTTGTCTTAATTATTACACCCTACTCCATACAAATAAAAACGAATAACTCACTTATATAGCATAATATTATAAAACAACTGATAATTTAAATAATATAGAATATAACTTTGTGTAAAAAATGCGAATGTAAATTATGCAGGTTAATATACGATATGTTAAGAAGAGCTTAAAATTAAAACTACATAAGTTATAAAACAATTAAAATACCATCAATAGTACCTTACAATCATACTACAGCTCATACAATTGGTAATGTAAAATATTAAGTAGATTACATGATCTATAATATTTTGTGGTTTATGGTAGAAATAAACCTATCTTACGTATACTAGTAAATAAGATATCATACATATGTTAATACGTTGCTTGGATTCACTAATGAGAAGTTTCAGGGAAAGAACTGAAAAACATAATAAAAATTTAGAAATTTAGACAATTCGGCAAATAAAATACCAGAGTACCGTAATGTGTTTAAATTGAAATCGAATGAGATGAAAAACTTTTTAATTTTTAGTGCAGTCAATCACGCAGGGCATATCAGTATACAATAATTAGTACAGTTAGTACATAACATAAAATACGACTGTATAGTAATATATATCACCAAACCGTGTCAAGAACAGTAGACTGGAAAAATAAATATATACTTTATGTACTTATATACATATGAATGTATATAGCAAATAATACAAGAAATATTATAAATGAAATGCGAGCAGCGAATAATTTATTATCTAGGTATGGTCACATACAATTCTGCATGTGAAAATGTGGGTGATTGTTACGGTTTTAATTGCTTTATTACTCTTAACATAATAATATAGTTAATGATTCATTTGGTTTAATGTGACGATTTTGAGACTAATTATGTATATAGTTGGAATGTAGTTGTATGGTATATAGTGAAATTTTAAAAATAAATACAATTTATTTTCATATATTATAAATATATTATTCATATTATAAATATGAACATGGACAAGAATTTGTATATATACGTACGTATTTAATAGTGAAATTTTAGAATTACATAAAAATAATTAGTTTTAAACTTAATCTTATCAACATATCACAGTCAAAACACAACAGTATTTAATTTATTTTAATTCTTTAGATTTTTCACAATCCACTGCAAATAGCTATCGACATGTGTATAAATTCCTGGATATTCCAAACCACATTTATGACCATAAGAAACAATTCCTTCTAAAATCCAAGCGTTACTTTGATTACTTAGACGCATTAATGGGCCGCCGGAGTCGCCTGTACAACTGTCTTGAAGGTAAACACCTCCTGCGCATATCTGCTCTTCTGCTATAAGATGCTTTTTCGCATACAGGCTTTGACAACTTTCCCGGTTCACGAAAGGAACAGTTACTTTGTGCTTCACATCTGTTTGTTTAACTGATTTAATAAAATTTGTAAAAAAATTAATGTTTGCTAATTGAGTTATTGAAATATAACCTGTGCCATTATGTCCCCATCCCGCTGTAACTAACTTCATGCCGTGTTGTAAAGGAACATTATCTACCTCGATATAAGGCAAACAAACTGGTTGTATGGAATCAGTAAAATTAATAACTCTATCAACTCGAATGAGAGCGATATCATGGTGATTATGAATTCGCAGATGTTGGTCACTTCCATACTGCTCGTGTACAACTATAGATTCTATACCAACACGTTCAAAAGGTGGAATGCAGGAAGAATTGGAACAGTCTATATGAGTTTTAATATTGTGGTCCCCTAATCGAATAGAAACTCTAAAATAATTGAATAAAATTGCAACTATATATTTCTTAAATAGATTCTTTTTATCACTTACATATGACCTACTTTCGTCTCAATTTTACCTTTAATACAGTGTGCTGCTGTTATGATGTAATAGTTATTTATAATTGAACCGGAACAAACCGAAACAAGAGCACCGTTTGCTACATTTAAAAAAAAATGGGAATCTATGACATATTTTTGTTTTGATTAATCGTATAATATATGTGGTAATACGATATTATATCATATATGATATTATATCATAGTGACAACATCAAAAAAAAAGATATCACAAACTTGTCTGATATTCTAAATTGACCATCCACGAAAATTCCGTTAGTTCTGCTTCAACTCCACCAAAAATTTTATTGGCAAGCGTGACACTACCGCAATAAGGCGGATATGGAATAATTGAACCGTCTTTAACGATTCCATTTGTTGCTGTTTTAATATTCTGCGGAAATTTTCTTATCGCTTCCGTTTTGGTAGGAAAAATAATTTTATCGCTGGGGAATATTACACGATCATTATGATTAAGTATCGTAGATATATGTGGCGAAATTTCAGTACAACAAACGAACGGCGGACTGCCAACACCTACTGGACATTCCAACGAGCTTATTATATAATTGTCCTGCTGAATACTCTGTTTTAGTATATTTTGCAAAGATTGACATTCGTTAATTGACTTGCATAATCCTTTAACTCCATTACCCTTCAAGCAGTGCTCTATTAAAAAAAAAATTTACGGTACAAACATTTTCTATATTATTTGATTAACTTATTTCTCCAAGAATTTCGACTCTTGTTATGTAAAATAAATAAACGAATAAAACAAAAAAAAAAACTCGTGAAAAAAACTGCGACATTTTTCTAAAACGCGAATATATAAATGTTGACCGAAGCACAGATAAAATATAACTAAATGCTATTTCCTCTAAGTAACGCTTCGGGTATTGTTAAGTAAGAATTTTTACACTTTGAGAAATGTTCTTGATAGTATCAATGTTTTAAAATACATGTGAGATCTACAATGTTGCGACTGTATTTTTAAACGCTTTTTATTTATTAATTATTTGTAGTTGTAGGTGTTTTATAAAAAAATTGGCTTATCGTAACGTCTATAGGTAAACCTCTTCTGTATATAGCAATAAATTTAATGTTAAAATAAATATACACGTTGAAATATGATACTTTTACATATCACTAACCCTTTTTCAATTTAATTTTATACCAAAAATTTAATTAAAATTGGGACACTGAATATGGATTATTAATATTTAAAATGCAATCCCTTTTGAGATTCCGTATGAAGTGCTTTCAAGTCAAAAAAAAAAAAAAATAAATGTCTCAATGATAAGGATATTAATTTCCTACACTTCCCTCCACTTTTACATTTATGTTTTATTTCCGTAAAATTATACACATTTCATATTACACATTTGAATTAAATTAAGGATTTTTAAAATGTATATTATTTATACTAATCTAATGTGTTCAAAAGTATTTAAAATTACTTAATTTAAGTTTTTGACAAAAAAAATAAAAACTGACAGCGGTGGGATTCGAACCCACGCCCTTTCGGACTGGTGCCTAAAACCAGCGCCTTAGACCACTCGGCCACGCTGCCCATAAATCATTTGCGTCTTTACTTTTATCTCTAAAACATTCTGAAATCTGAATTTGTAATTTTAAAATGCCAATTATAAATGCACTATATGTAAATTAACAATATAAAATATTTTTCTTCCACAAATACGAACGTAATTATCGTAAATCACTTACAGAAAGCTTTTTAATTCGTCTAAAAGCTTTAAGCTTTAAAGTTTCTTGTTCAAACTTTTTCAAACAATTCTTATAGAAACAGAATTACTTATGCGCAATAAAAAGATATTTGAAACGAAAATTGTTTCCAACGTAATTCCAAAACGCATATTGATATGAAAGAATGAGTAAAGACATTTACTTAACCACTCAGGAAAATAGACACGCAGTATCAAACTATTAAATTGTGAGCAAAATTATATAACATACAAAGTAAGCAAGAAAAATTAACTTTGGCTTTTCAAAAGCTTGAATACCCTCCACACAGCGTTACTGAAAATTTACTAAAAATGGTTTATAGATTAGAAACGTCAATTTATAAGTTTGCGTTAAAATAAATACAATTGATGAAAATTATAACTCATTTATGGAATCAAGTTTGATAAAATTATATACATACATATGTATGTATGTTAAAAAATGGAATAACTTGATTACAAATTCTTTAATCTGAAAATAACTCATTGAATACAGGTTGATCCAACTGATATGCTTTGCTCAAAATATAAATATATAGCAAGTTTTATCTATAAGAATAAATGGTTACCCTATTCGTGGTTTTAAGTTGGCAGAATTCAGTGACATACATACATATATCAAACAGAACTGGCATCCAAAATTAATCCGTTTTGCCTAAATTGTAAGAACTTACAATTAAAATGGTATCAAGGGTATGCAACTAAAATAGTAACTAACTAGGGTATAATTTATAAGTTCATTCCCCAATCTCAAAAAAAGAGATACTGATTTTTGATGAAAAATAAAAATATGCATATGCAAATGACCGAATGAATTCATAAAGTTGAGCTGTTTATGAAAATATACTGTTATAATGGAACGTACTGTGACGTTCTTCGATTTTTTATTTTCTGTGTTACAAACATGCATTATTTTCATATAGCATAGTAAAGGATTTACAATTATAGAGGGATGAAACCAAACTAAAAAAATTAAAGCGCAGTAAACTTCCTAATAGTAGCATAATATACTTATAGGTGAATCGCATTCATGAAAATAAGTATTCATATTTTAAAGTATACTTCTTTCTTATTCTTATATTTTCATAACTATGCATACTTTGCTAGAACTATTTTAACCACTTTGACTATAGATATAAAAGTTATGTGTTGATTTATTAATATAAGTACATATATGAGTGTTTGTTTCTATTAATTATTACAAAATTTATTTGCAGTAAGTATATACCGCATGTCTTTATACATATGTATTCTTCTTATTAAACTTCTTATTAACTACTTTCACTCATATCACCGACAAGTTTATGGAAATGTTTCATATTATTGTTTCGCTCACGTCGTTTCCGAAACTATGCCTTATCACTTATCTGTTGCTTTTGGTGAATTTTGGAACCGAATTTTAATATTAAGTTTCATTCCTTGCAATATCAGATTCAGTGGAGCGTAGTTCCGTCAGTTACTGCTAAAAAATGTTTTCTGTCTGTACTTTTGACTTCTTAACGAATTGTTAGACAACGTGGTTTTTATCACTTCTCGATATGCGGCAAATTTTCAAGTGAACAA